ACTTAAAACTGACCACTTGCTCCACTCGGTCTTCATTGATAAGAAGGGCTGGATGTCTGATCTGTTCCTTCTATAATCCACTATAAGCTCCTTGTTCTTATTGCTGTTGAGGACCAAGTTGTTGTCTCCACACCACAAAAGCAACCGGTCCACCTCATCTTGGTAGGCAGACTTATCCCCCCGGAGATAAGTCCCACCACTGTTGTATCATCTGCAAATTTAGCAATAGTATTACTAACGTGAGTGGGAATGAAGTCATGCACATAAAGAGTATAGAGTAAGGGACTCAGTACGCAACCCTGTGGTGTACCAGTGTTAAGAATAAGGGCTGAAGAGGTATGATTACCTAATCTGACCCTCTGTGAGCGGCCAGACAGGAAATCCATAATCCAAAGGAAGATTGAATTAGAAAGCCCAACGTCCAGAAGTTTAGACACTAGTCTATGTAGAAGAATTGTGTTAAACGCAGAACTAAAATCCACAAAAAGGATCCTCTCATAGCCCTCCCGCTGTTCTAGATGAGTCAGAGCAGTGTGAAGAGTGATGGCTATAATGTCCTCTGTAGATCTATTTTTTTCTGTATGCAAACTGGTGTTTCTCAAATGTATGCAGAAGACCAGAACTGATGTGCTGGCAGACCAACTTCTCAAAGCACTTCATGATGATAGGAGTGAGTGCCACTGGTCTGTAATCGTTGAGGTTATTGTTAGGGAACTTCTTTGGCAGCGGAACAATGGTGGAAGCCTTCAAACAAGATGGACTGGGATAAAGTGGACTGGGATAAAGACTGATTGAAGATCCTGGCAAAGAGTCCAGCCAAATGATCAGCACAGTCTTTAAGCACTCGGCCAGAGATACCGTCAGGACGGCAGCCTTTCTAGGGTCCACAGCCCTCAGAATGCTCCTCACCTCCTGTTCCTTCACAATGAGCTGGGGGCTACAATTGGCTGGAAGTTGTGTTTTATCTGTCTGATGTCTCCACTTCAAAGCGAGCAAAGAAATGATTCAGTTCCTCTGCCAATGAAGCATCCCCCTCAGCAGGGATGACATTGGTTGGTTGATGTTTTGTAATTTGTTGAATCCCTCACCACACCTGCCTTATGTTATTGCTATAAAAATTATTCTCAATCTTCCTCTTATAATCAGTCTTGGCCTTCCGAATACCTTTCTTCAGATTAGTTCTAGCAACACTGTATCTTGCCCCATCACCGGACCTAAAGGCCTTGGTCCTGTCATGCAAGAGGCACTGGACTTCCTTGGTCATCCAGGGTTTCTGATCAGGATAGATCCTAATACGTTTATCCACAGTGATAGTATCTGTGCAGTGTTTGATATAGCACAGAACAGTTGCAGTGTGCACCTCTAGGTCAGGGTGGTAAAAGATGTCCCAATTGTGTCTCAAAACAATCCTGAAGTTGTTGGGAAGCATTTTCTGGCCAAGATTTCACTGTCTTTATTATAGGCAGAGCCCTTTTCCTAACAGGGATGTAAGCTGGTGCTAAAATCAGTGACATATGGTCTGATTGTCCCAAATGTGGTAATTGTATAACCTTATAGCCATGTTTGATGTTGGTATATACTTTGTCCAATATGTTTGCTCCTCTAGTAGCACACTTAACATGCTGATAGAATTTAGGGAGCACTTCTTTTAAATCAGCTTGATTAAAGTCCCCCGCTATGATATGCACAGCATCAGGATACTTATTCTGCTGATTACTAACAATGTTATACAAGAATCCCAAAGCTATGGTAGTTTTGACATCAGGTGGGATATAGACTGCAGTAATCAAAACCATGCTGAATTCCCGTGGAAGATATATGGGTCTACATTTAAGTGTCATATACTCCAGATCCATGGAGCAGTGGCTGTCTACAGTCTTTGTATTGATACACCAGCTTTTGTTCACATGAAGGCTTAACCCCCCCCCCCCCTTTGATCTTGCCAGAATCTGTACTCCTGTCCTGCCAGTGAGCTATGTAGCCTTCTAGCTCAACAGCTGCATCTGGAATGAGTGAATGAAGCCAAGTTTCTGTGATTAGCAAAACACAGCAGTTCTTGATGAAGTCTATAGCCTTAATTCATCCATTTTGTTAGTAAGAGATCTTGCATTGGTAAGAAATATACTTGGAATTGAAGGCTTGTGTGGAAACTTAATCAGCCTAAAGAAAACCCCAGCACGACATCCTCTCTTCCTCTTCTTTCTCTGCCTCTTCCTCCTTCCTACAGGGATAGTGATCCATGGCTCCCCCAGGGGCCTAGCTGCCTCCTTTGGTATGTTATGAGAATGTATAAAATCATCCGTAATAGCATTTTCACATTTCAGTCCAATTTATAACAAGGCTTGCCGACTATAGATGCTCCTTGCCCTACAGGATTCAATCAAGGAAAAGATCCAAAACACACACAGAATATTACACACCATACATGAAAGAAGGAGCGGTTAGCCGCAGCATCCATGTGAGCAGCCATCTTGAAAAAGTATTTTGTATGCTTCTTCATGTGTGCTGCATAGCCAACAGTTATAAGGGTAAACTTCGCCTCTATGTAACGAGAGATTTGAGGTTTAACACTGATGAATCAATAAAGAGACGCCATTCTAGTAGGTCGTTCTCACAACTCAAAACTTTAAATGGTCAATGTCAGTTCAGGAAATATCAAACTGCAAAAAAATTTTTTTCTTAAACCATCTTGGTGGCTTCAAAAGATACACATTTTCATACCTGTAAACACCCATCTTGACCCCAGTTGTTCTGCTTTTGATTTTGACAAATGTAGGTCTTCAAGTTGCTTAATTCTGACTGTGTTAGGAGATGAGACATATATGGTTCAGAATGTGGATCACTGTCATTGTTTGTTTGTAACCAGTGCATTGCGGCATCCTTGTCTGTTTTGTCTAAGCTACATTTCTCTGGTGACTTTGGTATAGACATATTGTCATTGTGTGTCACTGATGTCATTGCTGAAAACAAATTTGAATATTATTTGATTTCTTAACAGAATCATGTGGTCATATCATTGGGGCAGCAAGCAGCATTGACTTCCAAACTTTAAGATTAGCAATATATCTTGTACAACAAATATGTCTTGATCATTAATATTACAAGCAAGCCTTTTGCTTTCTTAACAAGTCCAGTCATGGTACATTTTTGAGCCTTTAAGTGTTTAAGCATATTTTCACTACAAATATAGAATATAATTCTTTTATTGGCCAAGTGTGGTTGGACACACAAGGAATTTGTCTTGGTGCAAATACTCTCAGTATACATAAAAGAAAAGATGCATTCATCAAGATTCAAGAATCATAAAGTACAACACTTAATGATAGTCATAGGATACAATAAGCAATCAAATCATACTAGGAAATAGTCACTATAAATCGTAAGGATACAAGCGACAAAGTTACAGTCATACAGTCACAAGTGGGAGGGGATGGGTGATAAGGAGTGATGAGAAGATTAATAGTAATAGTAGTGCAGACTTTGTAAATAGTTGGACAGTGTTGAGGGAATTATTTGTTTAGCAGAGTGATGGGTTTCGGGAAAAACTGTTACTGTGTCCAGTAGTTCTGGTGTGCAGTGCTCTATAGTGTCATTTTGAGGGAAGGAGTTGAAACAGTTTATGTCCAGGATATGAGGTGTCTGTAGATATTTTCACAGCCCTCTTTTTGACTCGTGCAGTGTACAGGTCCTCGATTGAAGGCAGGTTGGTAGTAATCATTTTTTCTACAGTCCTAATTATCTTCTGAAGTCGATGTCTGTCCTGTTGGGTTACAGAACCAAACCAGACAGTTATAGAGGTGCAGATGATAGACTGTAGCAGAACCTATTATGGCTGTTTCGACATTCCAAGACATTCCTACTGTCACAAATATCCTACAGCAAGTCTATAATGGGCTTATTTGTGATGTAAATTACATATACAGACAATGTTATGCCTTGAGATAATCGCATCAAAATATATGGGAAACTGATATCACCAAAATTAGTGGCATCTGTGCATGCGAGTTGCTTTTTGTAGGCTTCTAGGCATGCCCAATCTGTATGTTTCACAAATGTTATGCAGTGTGTCCTGAATGCTTGCCTGGACATGCATGACTACACAAAGCATCTTTTAATGCAAATTTAAATTAGTAAAAAAGTATATATAAGAAAAAATTGCAAAAATAAGCTACCAAAAATCTGTAGGATACACCAAATGTATTCAGGAAGAAAAAATCTTTTTTATCCAATGTTATCTGCTGGGCTCCTCAGCTCAACAATGCTGTAGCTTTGTGGCAATATCCTGCTTGTGCATGTGGGACCTACTACTGCCTTTTCTGGATTTCTAGGTAGAGAAGATGCTGTCAGCCTCTATTCATGACACCCCTTTATTCTCTGTTGAATTAATAGCATGGCCATCTTCCATCTCTTCTCAGTAACTTTTTCTTTTGCCAGCCATAGCAAATCAGATCTTGCAGCAGATAATGCAGTTAAAGAATCAAGTACTATACAGGGCTCCATTCCCCTGGTTCCAATCCTAGCAGTCACTCTAGTGACAGTGGGGGCTCACTGCAACTTGGAGAAACATTGCTGCTCAAATAATCTCTGCAGGGTCCAGTCAATCAACATAGTGACCACAACCTGAAGCTATGGAAAAGAGACCTCCATTTCCCTCTAGAAGCTTTCTAGTAATCCGATCCTATACTCCTCAGTCTCTTCTCCCAATTATTTAAAAAAAAATCTGAGTTAATATTTCAAAGAGCTAAAATCTTTAACTGTCACATTTCTGGATAAATAAAATTTTCCAGTCTCTTCTGAGCTTGTTTCAAATTGTATTTAACTGCCAATTTCTTTTTTCCTTTCCTTTTTTGTCCTCTTACCTTTTCAATTAAAACAACACACGTGTACGCACAAAAATCCAAATGCAAAAGTTAAAAGCAGTTAAAATTCAAACAATATTTTTCCTTTTTAAATGCATATCTTAAGATGTAACTTTGCAGATTTTTCTTTCTTTTATATAGAGAAAGAGAGTCATCCACTTCGGAAGTTTCCTTCTGATAAGATATTTGAAGCTATTTCTTCAATGTTTCCTGATAAGGGTACAGCAGAAGAATTGAAAGAAAAGTAAGATGTTATTAAGTTATATAAAACAGAATGTCCATTTCTGGAGAAATAATGTAGTATATTCATAGCAAATTGTAGGATGTGGAGAAACTTAACAAAACAGTTTAAATTAGGTTGCTAAAATTGTAGACTTAGATTGGTATTCCAAATTATCTGAGCCTATTAATATTGATCAAATGTTTGAAGAGCATACTATTTGACTTTGTGAAAACGATTACATTTTGAATAAATTGTTTGGGTCTCTATCTCTTTGTAAAATCAAGAACCAGTTAGTATAGTGATTTAAGTTTTAGATTAAGACTTTAAGTATAATCTTAGTCACCAAACTCACTGGGTGATTTAAAAATAAGCTACTGTCTTTTAACCTAATGTATCTCATGTGATTGCTGTTGGTATAAAATGGAAATACCTATGGAAGCTCATTTTAGCACTTGGTGGGCTGTAAGTTCAAGTAATGCATAATAAATGTTATCTGTACTGTTATTAATAGGAAATGTTATTGTCAATACTGACATATGATAACACTTTTTTGTATAACATCACTAATTGATGAAGGTTTACTTTTGCAATATACTACAAAAAGCTATTGGTTTTATCTAATTTACAGTGTTTAAAATATGGCTTCTTGCTGAATGTAGTGTATTTACTTAATGATGGTAGGCTCTGTATTTCTTGAAACTACTATAAAATCCATTTTTAAATTACATTAAAATAATAGTAGTGTTTACTTTTTCGGTAGATACAAAGAACTTACTGAACAGCAGCTTCCAGGAGCTCTTCCTCCTGAGTGCACACCAAACATAGATGGACCAAATGCCAAATCTGTTCAGAGGGAGCAGAGTCTACATTCTTTTCATACTCTTTTTTGTAGACGGTGTTTCAAATATGATTGTTTTTTACATCGTAAGTGAAAAGCAATTTTAAATATTTTTATTATCAGGAAAAATAATTGAAATATTCCATTCTGGCTGGTTTACTCCTGTTACATGCACTAGAGAGTCCAAATAAGGTGGAGGTTTTTTTTTACTTCCATACTCTATCTTCTTTGATCTGTATGGCAAGTAGAATGACTTTATTATAATCAGTGTAATGTTTCAATAATCTCATTTTTCTATATATGAAATATGCATGATCATTTAGTCCTTTTGCTAAAATCAATTTCCATTATTTGGTTTTGGGACAAAGTATTTTAGTATGTGGTACAAGTTTAAATCAATATGTAATACTTACCTGGGAAGTTAATATAAAATAATGTTTCAATGTGCTAGTTATGCATTATTTGATAACACTATGATTTAAGAATGCTTTTATTTTTGTGTGCTATTTGTAAGTAAAAAAGCCTGCAAAATAATGCGTTATGAAGAATCAAAGACCATATCTCTGAAGAATACCAGGTTAAGGAAGTTTAAACAAAAACAAAATTGACTCAGAGAACTACACCAATCAACTACACATTGTGTATTAGTGTAATTCCTCTGAATCAACATTGTGTAGGTGATTAGCTTTGTCCTGTTATCACAATGGCCAAAGTGCAGGGGTGGTATTCTACTGGTTCGGACCAGTTCGGTAGAACTGGTTGTTACGATTCCCGGTAATTTGGAGAACCGACAAAATGGGCCCCTGGCTGGCCCCGCCCCTCTCCACCCACTTCTCCGCGCCCTTCCCAGTAGGTCCTTATTGTGCATGTGCAACATCGCACACATGTGCAACAAGCTGTCTGCATTCTAACCCCGCCTGTCCCACCCCTCATCTCAGCCATGCACCGCTGCCTGCAGTCTGCCTTCACCCGCCCACCAGCCATCGCTGTCTGCGTTCCACTATGACCTGCCTAGGTGATTGAGGTTCTGCAAGTCCCGGTTGCCTACATGTTGTTGCTGCCACCAACCCCAGTTGAGTCCCGACTCCTGGGCCAGCCTAGGCTGCCACCACTGCGCTACTACTGCCATCACTGCCCTTGTCGCCACCGCCACCACAAGCCCCAGTTGAGTCCCGACTCCCAGGCTGGCCTATGCCACCACTGCCATGCCACCGCCACCCTCACTGCTCGTGGCCTAGCTAGCTGCTCCCCCGTCCCTGCCTGGCTTGCTTAGCCGCAGGGGCCGCCCATGCAGCTCTCACAGCCTAGCAAGGTTCCCCACCCCACCCCACTTGCCTAGCTTGCTTAGCTGCGGGGCTGCCCATGTGGTTCTCGTGGCCTAGCAAGGTTCCCCCCACCCCACTTGCTTAGCCACAAGGGCCGCCATGTGGCTCTCGTGGCCTAGCAAGTTTTCCCCCCAACCGTCCCAGCCTCCAGCTTACCTGGCTTGTTGGTGGCAGAGAGGAAGGCGAGCTAGGGCTGACCTGTTGCCTCTTGGGTCCCCACTAGCCTGGGTCTCACCCCCTGCTGGATTCTCCTCAGCTGCTTGGCCTTGCCTGCTAGTAGTGGGGGGAGGGGGCAACCAGGTAGCACAACACTATGGCGCCCGGGCCCACATCGCCCCTTTACCTGCCGCCCCTTCCCTCTGCCACCCGTTCCTTCTGCCTCCCGCCAGCTTGCACGCTTTGACTGAATGTGGGCCGCATTCTGTGAGAATGATGCAAGTCAAGCCTTGCGAGAACAGATCTTCCTCGGCGGCCCACACTTGGCTAAAATGCTTGGCTGGGCGAGGGAGGGGCGGCAGGCAGATGGCAATGCGGGGGAACTCATGCTTCCTGGTTGCCTCCTGCACCCCCCTGGGCATCCGCGAGCCCCAGCAGCTGCGGAGAATCCGAGCAGCAGCAGGGGACAAAATGCAGGCTGGCCGAGTGGCGACGGCTCAGCCCTGGCTGGCTCATCTATTCCTCTGCCACAGGAGGAAAGTAAGTTTGCACTTTGCAGAAAGTCGGGATACCAGTGAGGTGGGAGATTGAGGGAGGAGAGGAAGTCCCACCCCGGCCCCTTTGTTGGACCCGGAAGCCTTGCCTGCCACATTTCCGGGCAATGCGGGGCCGGGTGCGAACAGACAATCGCACCCGGTCCCTGGGACTTTAAGAGACTGGCCGGGAAGAACATAAGTTAATGAGCAACATTGGAAGCGTGTGTGTGTGTGTTTCAGATGGGTCTCCTAGCTTTAGAAGGAGAGAGGGAAGGAGGAAGGGAAGGGACAGAAAAAGAGAGAGAGGGGAGAGAGAGAGAGAGATGGTAAGAGAGGGAGAGAGAAGGAGAAAGAAAGAGGGGGAAGAGAGGGGAGAGAGAGAAAGAGGGAGGGGAGAGAGGGAAAGATGGGGGAAAGGAGAGAAAGATAGAGAGAGAGAAAGAGAAGGAAGAGAAAGAAAAGAAAGAAAAAAGGGAGAGAGAAAGGAAGAGAAAGGAAGAAAAGGGATAGACAAAGAAAGGGGGTGGAAGGAAGGGAAAGAAAGAAAGGAAGGAAGGAAGAAAGAAAGAGGAGAAAGTAAGTGGGATATATGGATGGATAGATAAATACATGGAAGGAAGGAGGAAGGGAGAGAGAAAAAAAGGAGAGGAAGGAAGGACAGAAACCCTGGCTTCAGAAGACTCTTTGAAGCAGCACAGCAATCTATGGCTGGCCTGCAAGGGAATCTCGGAGGTCACTTAGTCCAACCCCCTGCTCTAGCAGGAGACCCTTACAGAATCAGAATAGCAGGATTAGAAGGGTATGTGTGTGTGTGTGTGCGTGTGCGCGCGCGTGTGTGTGCATGGCTGTCAAAACTCCAAAAACAGGTCAAGTAGCTCTGGGGAGATCAGTCATAAATTAGAACACTTGCTAAGCAACCAGCCATTAAGTGAGGACCACTTATATTTGGTTTGCCAATCACATGGCCACCTGGCCACACCCACCCAGTCACATGGCCACAAAGCCATATCCATCCGGTCACATGACCACAAAGCCATGCCCACCTGGCCACACCCACAAATTAAGTCACGCCTACAGGACTGGTTGTTACAAAATTTGAATCCCACCCCTGCCAAAGTACCTTTAGAAACTTGGAACTGCTGTAAAAAGAAATATAGAACTGAGTATCATCTGCATAACACTGTATTTCCAAGATACAAGATTTTAGAAGAAATTGAAAGACTAGTTCTCCAGCAATATTTTTTTTTAATTTGCCTTCCAGAAAGGATTGAAAAAATCTGAAAACATATATCACTATTCCAAAAAGGCAGTCTTGAAAGGGTGGACATCTAATGCTATCCTCTGATAAGATATATAAGGATTATTTGTGCAAAGATAGGTCAGAGTAGTACAACTATTAAACAGAATTATCATACAATTACATTCAGTAAAGTCATACTGGAGGCATTCTAATATACTATTCAGGAGGTACCTGAAATTTGCTGTCATCTCATTATATTATTTCAATATTGCTAAGTAGCTTTATCATGAGTATTGGTGATTTATTACATTAAGTTTATTGCTCAGAGAAAGAATAATTGAAGGCTTATTATACTACAAAAATAATCTTAGATAAACTTTATTTACTTCTTTCAAAATTATCTGCAGCATTCCATGCGACTCCTAACACCTACAAACGGAAGAATACAGAAACTGCAATAGATAATAAGCCTTGTGGGCCACACTGTTATCAACATCTGGTAAAATTATTTTATTTCCTTAACTTTATTTTTTTTAATTCTTTGAACTGGAGGAAAATAGATATATGTATAAAATTTATGTTCCAAGAAAAAATTCAATGAGACTAGCAGTTTGCTAAATGCCAAAATAATATGCAATAATATGTTGTACAACTGATGGCCCAGGACTACATGCAATCTCCAAAAGCCTTTAAAATGCTTCCAAAAATTGTCAATATTATAATTTCTAATGCGAGGAAAATTTTGTGATCTACCCAGAAAATTATATTTATAATATATTAATATATTATATTTATTACTTTATAATTTTGATTCTGCTTATATTAAATTAAATTATTTCAAATTAGGTTAATGTTTTGGCTAGCTGGTCTCTTTCTCCTTACAAACATACCAGAATCTTTTTTCTTTTTCTGTAATGCTATGGGGGAATGACTTTGGAAGATGAGGAAGGATTGGAAGGTGCTTTCATGTTAATGTAGTTTTACAGTAAAGTAGAATTAGCTTAACTGGTTGTATTTCCTGTCTGGTATACCTCAGAGGGATGACTTCAGTCTTGCAAGCCTGGAAATACAAATCTCCCACTATCTCCTATATGGTCTGAGAACTTTAGGGGTGGGGTCCCTTCTCAGTATCTTTCCCTATGATAAATATTATTAATCATAATTATTCAAAAATATCTGTCAGTTTTTCCGGTAAATAAGTGTAGCAGATGGTTTTGAAAACAGCAGTCCAGTTTCTTTTGTGGTAATGTCACTTGCTTTCAGTTGCTCTAGCTTTTCTAGTTGTTGTTTTTGTCATTACAGTACATTTTTTACAAAGTGGCAAACTTCTGAGGCTCCCCTCTTTCCCATGCTCATACACTCCTTCTCGAACACTTAACCTGTTAAGTCACAGCTGAATATAGCTCCTTTTTCACAGGACCTTGCCCAGTGCTTTATAGGTGAAAGCACCCTGCATGATTGTAAGCCCTACATTTCCACTCCACTGTCTTTTCTCTCATCTCTCTGAAAGTAGGATGGGACTAGTAGATCAAGGAAAGGGGTGAAGGGTGCAGTTGTTGTTTTTTAAAATCAGTTTGCGCTTATACTGCCCTCAGAAGCCTTGTGTCAAAAGGAGTCCCACTGCAACCACGTCTCCTCTGATGAAAGGAGTCCAGGATCAATTTTCCTATGTACAATATGACCACTAAGTTTTATTATTTCCATTGCTCCATATATTTAACCACATCCAGTCCACATTGATGTTTCATAAACCAGCCTGTGGAGTCTCCTGCAAGACACCTTGGGACTGCAATTTTCCACTTGCCTTCCTCCCAGATATTTTATATATTTCTATTCAGATTGTATGACCTCTGACCGTGGAGGGTATTCTTTTCCTTTTCTGCAATTATTCTGCAATCAATTATTGTGGTCTTGGATTCATGTCTCAGGCCGTTTCTCTTCTGACTGGGGAGGAACAGCATTTAAAGATCTGTTTCAATTTTATACACTCCATTTCTTTCACAAACTGGAGGCGTGAGTGAGGACATTAGGCCCATTCCCAACCCTAGGCCACATTAACTTTATCTGTTAGGCAAATACTCTTTCATCAATCATAGGTCTGCCCAAGCACCCTTATACGCTTCCCTGCCTGCCCTAGTATCAGCTTAGACAATTTCATTCATTATGAAAATAGGAAAAAAGGGAGTTTGAACAGAGCCTCGGGGCTCAGTCTCTACTCGACACAGAAAGGTCACACTCATTCTTCCCAAGCCAAATTGCTTTCTGGACATCTCTGGTCATTGCTCAGTTGCAACAGGACCAGGAATGACAGACAATTGGAATGGAAGGGATCCTATATATTAATTAAACCTCCCTAGCCAAAATTGACTTTACACACAGACCATTGCATTATATACCTAAACAATGTCCTTATGTAGCAGTGGGAAGGGATATGGGATCAATCTTGCAGCACTCACCTTTGTTGTCCCTGTTCAAACCTGGAAGTTTATACATCCCATGTCTGACACCAGTTTCTATGGAATTAGATGCAGAACCAAAAAAATAATACCTAAGGCTCTTTGCAGTTATTTATTCAGAGTACAATGGAGGAATTTTCCTCCAGAAAATAATGCGAAGGATTCCTGCAGACAAAAGGATGCATTCATATCTGTACATTTCAGGAAAGGAAGAGAAAATGATAATCATACACAATGCACAGGTAGTAAATAGATGATGTAAGCGTAAATATTCATAATTAGCAAGCCTTTAAGTTACTTTCCCTCCCAACTACTGTTGATGTTCGTTCAATGTTTTCAAAGAGGATCTTGACATCTAACGGGTTGTGGACTGTCCACTGTGTGTCCGCAGGTGGCTGGTAAGGTCTATATGGGCACGGAATATTCTGCCACATGTTAGGCAGACATATGTGGGCACCACTATCGCAGCATTTGCAGCTCTGGCTTTATGGAGTGCTCACTTCTCTTGTGTTATGGTTGTCTTTCTGTCTTCAAATGTCTGGTAGCCTTGGTGGATCGACATGTGCCATGTCGATCGATCTTGTGCCAGGGTTTCCCAGGAGGTGATGTTGATATCCAGAGACTCGAGAGAGGCTATCAGTGGTCTTTGTATCACTTCCTTTGTCCCCCATGCAATCACTTTCCGTGAGACAGCTGACCATAGAGGAGCTGTTTGGGATGTGGTAGTCTGGCAACTTTGCAATATGACCTGCCCAGAATGTTTGGGCTTTAATCAGCAGGGTGTAAACTGATGGCAAGCCTGTTCTGGAGAGGACTTCTGAGTCTGGCATCTTGTCCTGCCACCAGATCCTCAGCAGTCTTCGGAGGCAGGTTGTGTGGAAGTGGTTCAATTGCCTAGCGTGCCTCTTATATACAGTCCAAATCTCACTGGCATACATTAGAGTAGTTAGCACAAAGTAGACTTTGAGCTTTGTAGCAAGGCTTATTCCACGTGTTGGTCAGTACCCTGCCAAATGCAGAGCTTGCCTTGGAGATTCTGCAGTTGACCTCGATATCAATTGTTACTGCACAGGAGAGGGTGCTACCAAGGCATGTAAATTGGTCCACTGCTTGCAGCTTTTGTCCCTTCACTATGATGAGGGGCTCTTAGTATTGGGCATTTGGAGCTGGCTGGTGCATCACTTTGGTCTTCTTTGTACTAATGAGGAAGTTGTCACATGCTGCTGCGCATTTGTCCATGCTGGCTTGCATTTCCTGCTCTGATCCAGCATTCAGAGCACAGTCATCAGTAAAAAGGAGGTCTTGTAGCACAGTCTCTTTTATCTTGGTGACAGCCTGGAGTCTTCGCAGATTGAACAGTCTCCCATCCTGTATCTCAGGCTGACTATCAAGGAACTGTTCTGAAGGTGTCTGACAACATGGCTGAATACATGCTGAACAAGATCAGTGTGAGCACACACCCTTGCTTGACGCTGTTTGTGACGGGAAAGGCCTCTGAAGTTTCTCAGTCCAGAACATGAGCTGTCATGCTGTTGTGGAACTGAAGTACCATCAGGATGAATCTATCAGGGCACCCAAACTTTGACAGGATGTGCCACAGACCTTCATGACTGTCAATGTCAAAAGCTTTGGTGAGATCCATGAAGGTGGTGTACAATTCACGATTCTGCTCTTCACACTTCTCTTGGAGCTGTTAAGCTGCAAAGATCATGTGCCACGCTGTTTGCGAAAACCGCACTATGTCTCAGGTAATAAACCCTGTTTCAGGTGGTCAGTCAGGCAGAGGAGTCTGTGATAGAAAGCAATGATATTCATCTTTGATTGTCGCAGACTCGTCAGTTTTCTTCTTTTTTTTTTTGTAAATTTTATTTGAGTTTTCACAAAGAAAAAAAAAATACAAATAAAACATCTTTTTTGAAAGTAGCGTAATCCCGGGTTACATTTCTTCGTACAGACACAAATTCAACTTCATGCTCATTTTTATGTTCTATTCCATATCTTATTACTGTTTTATATTTTCTGCATAGCTTCTCCCCTCTTTTAATTTTCTCAATATTTTAATTATCTCATCTCAATTCAAATCATTATATTTATATTTTTTGTCTGTGCTGTTTCAATTATCTATTATCTTTTCTCATTAAACAAAATTTCTCCTGTAATTACTGATTGGAGTATGACACCTTTATATCTATTAAGTTTATCCATTTAACTCTTATTTAAGCTTCAATATATACCCTAGAGTTTTAACATTCAATATAATACATAACTTCCATTCGGATTCTGCTTGGTACATTCTTAAAATACACACTATATTCTTAAAGAAAGAAAAAATTATAAATATATGTAATTAAAACAACACATTCCATTTCAATTCAATTCTATCATTAATATTAATATTCATTAAAATCTTAACTTCTTTAACATTACTTTTCAATTAAATATCATACTTCTATGGGGACAATTATAAGCTTTCCATAATTAATTCCCCCCCTTCACTTATATTTTATAAAACATTAACTAATTAAAATGTTCCCGTTCCTTCCTAATTCAATTTTCTCATTTATTTTATTTCACTTATTTTATTAACAAACATTTCACTAAATTACACTAACTATTTTATCCCTCATTTTAATCATACATTGTTTCCAATTTTCTAAAGTTATTTCTATTACTAATATAACAATACAATCTTATGTACCTTTACAGAATCCCTTTTTCAGTTAGATTTTCACCCATTATCTCTAAATAGGTCCTGTTTCTCTATATCTTGTTCCGGTCCTTTGTAACATCTTATCCTTTCCTTCTTCCCTCTCTTCTTCTCTCTCCCCTTTTTACCCCCTTGTCTCTCTACCTCTATTTCTCTCTTCTGTATTCCCCTTTTCTGTTGCTTTCCAGTATTATACTTATTTTTCGAATTATTTTTCTTTTCTTTGGTTGTTTTTTTAAGTCTTAAATTCTCCATTCTCTTTCCCCCATTTCCTTTTTCTTCCCCACATAGAATTGCTTGTTCATGAAAGATGGCTTCTTCGTTGTCCCAGTCTTC